CGCTCTTTTGGTCCAGTTTACACGCAGTATCTATAACAATACATTTCGAATGGAAATGTCCAAGTCTCGCAGGCATAAAAAAGCTGTACTGAACATGCACGAAAAAATGTTCCATGTGGTCTTGTCGCCGATTTGCTTGCTTCTCCATGTTATTGAATACTTCCGATGACTTCTTTTGCCTTTGTGATCTTCGCTCTCATGTCTTTCGTTGCAATCGTCGTCCCATGTCAGTTGACTTCGCTATGCTGTACCTTCCCCTAGAAGCACCATAATGCCCAGCAGATGGGGGTCTCATGAGGATGATTCTTGCTAAATCACTTGTAGCTCAAGTGTTGTGACAATGTATGGTCTTTTCATATTAAGTCTCTAACAGTGATTAAGAGATTTGTTTTTAAACGGTTAATATACAAACATATCACTGAATAACGTGGTAATGTTTCTATCAGGTAAAAGAGCATAAGCACCTGTCCTTGGCAAGCACAGACAGCCCCTGGAGGAGGATCGGCACCACTGTTTGGTCAAGATATGCCCGCGTAGGCAGTGCCTGCAGGTCCACCTTCTGCTTGGAACGGTCCCCGCCAACCCTCTCGCTCTCCATGATTTTCTGTAATGAAGTACAATAGCAGTGGGGTTTTTGGTTTGCATGTTAAGTTGAAATATCTGCAAGAACAGAAGCCGAATGGAAGATGGAAGTGTGCAGATGCAATACCTGGATACTGTCTGCAAGTCCGAACTCTGCATGTGGATTTTCAGGTCCCTGCAAAGGAAACTTCCGTTTTGAGAATGCAGTTTGCAAAAGCGCAACAGGTTTTAATTTTCAGAATAAAAACTTAGTTAAAATTGAAATCATCATGAATTGTATTTCGATTCCTTATCTTCCATCTTCATAAATCCATCACATTAAACAAAGAATAGGAGTTGTGGTTATGTAAACGGTAAGAGATGGTTAGGGTCAACGCTACGACTGCATACATCTGCATAGCTTGTCATCACTTCACACCGTATGAGGACTGGTGCCGAGCTTGTGGCATTTATGTATGGTAGGTATCTCACCATCTGGTCGTTGATTCCCAGGCACCCATATAAATAATGTTAATTTGCATGAACATCAGCCACTCTGGTGATATGCAAATACATTACAATGTGTGATTCAGGCGTGCGCATCAAGTCAGACATTTACAAGCATATAATGTAAAATCACAAGCTCGTTTGCAGACCAACATCTGGTATGTGCTGGTCATTGGGTCAGATTGGAAAGAGAACTGTAAACATAACTCTCCACCCAATTTCTTCCCTCCCTCCTCACCCCAACTTTCCGTAAGTATTTCCATGAAAAGAGCTGCGAACTTGACCACAGTAAATGGTAATAATGTACAACAGCACCGTCAATCCACTGCTGGATGAATCGCCTATCACTCTGCGGTCAGTCATTCAAACACATGTTCTGGTCCACACTGGGAATATTCAACTTGTATGTATCAAAGTGTGCACCTACACCTCGCACTCATTTACCTCTCGAACTCTCTCTCCTACTCTTGCAACTAGGTTGGGATCTGCACCATATCTATGCAACTCTGCATGTGATAGTATTTGGAGCAGATGCCAAGTGCTGTTCTCTATTGTAGTCTATCAGCATTTAAAATTTACTGCAGATAAGTCTATTGAAACTGTAATTCAAGCAGCCTCGTTTCATTATACAGTCATCTTATCCCATACTGGCCTAGTACATGACCCCACTCAGCAAATTCAAAGTATTTTTTTTTTCATTGAAGTCTGTCTCGTGTAGAATATCATACTGTGGTGAGTATTATATCCAAGACAACATTTATCTTAAAACTCATTCGTCAGGAATCATGTCAACCCGTTTAAGTCCATCAAGTGGTACGTTGCCTGCTGAACCGATGGTTTAAGTCTACCGTGTGAATATATATTTAGAAAAACAAACGGATTGTTGCATTCATGAAAACATGCTCTGGGTCTTCTTTTCAGAATGAGCGGCCTCCTGGCGTTGGCTGTGCCAGCATCTTACCTGGGGCTGCGACTCGGCCGCTTGCTCAGCCGACACCACCGCCTGTTCTGCAACACAACAACCGCAACACACAACACCGCGTCAGAGAGACGGAAGGAACGCCGCGATAAGAACTGATGCGTGAATCGGAACGTGACTCCCCGAGTCCTGGCAATTCATCGAATCACACGGGGTGCGAGGCTTAGTTTGTAACCTTAAACACACAAAGGGGGTGAATATCACCGAGTGTGTTATACAACCGGTGAGTGGCTATGCATGCTCGAGAAACGCTCCATTGTTTAATGTACAAGAGTGTTGAGTGCGAGAAGAGTGAATGTTGACATTTGAGGAGAGTATACGCTCCGAATATGACGACATTGTGGGGAGAGAGCGAGCAGTGTTAAGCAAGTATGTCGTGTTAAAAGTGTCGTGCTCTAAGAGTGCGAGACACGTCCTTTCAGTACGAGTTGAGTGTGAGGAGTGCATTAGGAGTGTGTACTATTTGCAGTGTTTTAGCGGAGAGCGATCTGCTAAGAGTAAGTGCTGGAGTGTGTGAGAAGGGCGAGGAGTGTTAAGAGTGAATTCGGTTTTATTACTGCGATGAGAGGTAATGTGGTAGGAGGGTGCTATTAGTGCATAGAAGTGTGTTATTGGTGTGTAGTCTAGTGAGTACAGTATTAGTAGGAGTGTTATTGGTGTGTAGTGTAGTGAGTACAGTATTAGTACTGTAGTATGTTATTGGCATGAGCAGTGTTAACCGCGCGCTTTGTGTGAATCGTGCGAGGGGCGTGTTACTCCTTTGAGGGGTGGCTTCGTGCGCTCTGTGAGCGTGGCGAGGGTGGTGTTATGTCGGTGGCGCCAGCAGGCGAGTGAGTTGTGAGTGAGTGCGACGAGCCCCGCGCTCGCAGCAGCCGGAGCTGCCAGGCGGCCCTCACCGTCCGCCATCGCTGCTGCTGCCTCCGTCTCTAGGGCCGCGCGGCTCGCAGCCAATCCGCGCGCGCTAAACGTGTCACGTGACGCGCGACGCACGTGCGTGCGCGTGCACCACAGCCGCTGCGTGAGCGGCCGACGCGCGAGTGCGGAAGCTTCTGTCTGAGACTTCACGGCTTCTGTCTGAAACTCCGCGGGCTTCTGTCTGAGACTCCACCGGCTTCTGTCTGAGACTCCGCGGCTTCTGTCTGAGACTTCACGAGCTTCTGTCTGAGACTTCACGGCTTCTGTCTGAGACTTCACGGCTTCTGTCTGAGACTCCGCGGGCTTCTGTCTGAGACTCCGCGGGCTTCTGTCTGCACCCCTCCCCCCTTGTGAGTTGTCACTCAACACAGCAGAGCCGTAGAGCGGTGGCGCAATGATTAGCGCGCACTGCGATGTGAACTCCACCAAACGGAGTCAATGTTCCGGACACGGCTAACATCAAACACCCGAGCCATTTGCAACATCAACATTTTTAAACTGGATGAATCCGGTAAGCTATAAAGGAGCCGTCCATAAATGACGTCACGCGATTTTGGACGATTTTTGACCCCCCCCCCCCCCCTAGTCACACGGCGTCACAAAAAGTCAGACCCCCCCTCAAATATGACGTCACAAAGCTCTGCCCCCCCCCAAATAAACATGCTTCAAATCGCTTTAAACTATTGTCATTGTAGTGCGTATTTAATGTGGCGCTGCACTCTGATGTTGTAGGAAAAAACATTTATTAAAAAGTCTCTTTAATTAAGTAGAACGTGTTGTCTATATTTATTTAAAGTTGCGCATTTTGATGTGACGTCACATTCTCCCCTTCCCCGTCGTCACACATCGTCCCAAATGTCTGACCCCCCCCCCCCCCCCCCAGGCGCGTGACGTCATTTATGGACGGCCCCTAAACGAAGCCGGCAGTGGCGGGCGGTCGTCTGAGAGTTGTTGTTGTGGTGGCAGGGCTCGTGGGGACGAGGGGGCACTGTGGACCGGTGCGCCAGAGGCTCCGCTTTCAATGTCCCTGTGAGACATTCAATGTCCCGGGGAGACTTTAACGATTTCCCAGGACCCACCCCCCCCTTCAAGAAGAGGGAAAAAAGTCATCAGGACGACGTGGCAACACCAAGCCCCGAGCATTCATCACGGCAAAACCGGGGGTCCCGAACTGCGCTCACGCTCTGGGGCAGGGCCGGTTTGGTGGAGAAGTTACCGCCAGCGGATCGTGCCTCCGTGTCGGCGGCCCTGTGTCCCTGTGTGGTGTGAGAGCTGCAGTGGTCTTCATTGCAAGGCCCGCGGGCCACTGGCGGCCCCTGGTGGCCTTTAGTAGGGCCCATGACGTACGGCCCCCCACAAAACACAAAGAGTGAAAACACCCCCCCACCCCCCCGTCATCACCATCGTGCTGTCAAACCCCAATGGTTTCAAATGTGGCTGCGCTCACACTGATGATGTCTTATCGGCGAAAGTGGGCTTCTGATAATGAGTGAAGCACACTGTTAGAGCAATATTCAGCAGCCCAGCAAACCCTCATCCCCACGTCAGAGAGCAGTGAACCAACAAGTTGTGCCACTTTCATTGATTCTGACACATCTTCATCATTCTCAGCGTTGGTTATTTCGGTAAATTCACGTGACTTTACCGAAAGAACTAAAGAAGATGATGAATTCCTGCAGTCACGAAAGTTTTAAGTCAAAATCGTCATCATCGTCCTCAGCCTTGGTCAAGCTGCCGATTCAAATCTTCTCAAGCACCCGGCCATCTCACGAGTCAGCAATGTCATAGTTCACCTAGCACCGTCAAACGAGTTCATTTCATCACTCCATCTCCTCGGTGGACGTACTCTCAGACGTGGTCTGTTCCTTGGATGGCAACTCATTGTTCATGACATCGGCCAGATCTCCTTTAGCCGTGACATTTCACGCTGAAGCCCACTTACTTTTGTTAGGTCAGATGTCAGCAACCTGATGTTCTTCGTTCTGTCTTCTCTCCGCTGTTCTTTCAATTATTCTTAAATCAACTACCCATGACGATGTTGACACAATATTTCCTTTATTGAAAATATGAATGACATTTTGCTGTATGAAGCAAGGGCGACGTATAAGCTAAAGCGGTGTTAATGTGTTCCTCTGTGTGCTACTCATATAGGCCTGTGTTAGTGTAACGCGTGTGAATGTTACATTTGACTTTAGATGCCTGTGACGACTGCTCTTGTTACATGAATACACCTATTACACATTTTATGCGTAGAGGCGCTATTTGAACACACTGCATAATTACCGGAACGCCGCTATGCTGGCTTGGAGTAGGGATTATCGGTGTAAGGCACTTCCACGAGAGTACAAGGTCCGCCTATACATCATAATACGATATTGTTGTACCCTATATCCCTATAACCCTGTCAAGGTGGATTTGTAGAAAATAAGGCGAGATGGAGTGTGTTGTGTCAAAATAATTCCCAGAACAGCATTCCGGATTGAAATTATGCGCTGCATTAGAGTAACGATGTGGTGCAGGATGTGTTACGTACACATCGGTATTGACAGCCAATGAATGACGAAATCCAGTCGCATCCTGCAGTGTCAGCCAGTTGGTGGGCGCATTTCAGAAAGCAGCACAGCTTGGCACAGCATGTCGGCATGTTTGAGACTCGCCTGGAATGCCCATGTGTTCTCATGCCACGCGTGTGGGTTCTATTCCAGCATTCATAGATAATAGCCATGCACGTGTGGGTACTTCACACACTGGAACACCCTGATCACTGTGGTAGTCATTTCTCCCAGAGTTCTGCTAATTTAATTTTACATTTATGTCACTGTAGAAAATTTATTGAAAGGCATCATGGACTGAGATTACAGACTGACCAATAGCTGCTATGAATATAAACATTGGCTTCTATTGCTATTTCAGTCGAATACACACAATCGTATACATTTACCAGACTAGCTGTTTAAAACATTTTCCAAAAAACCTCATGCGAATAAATGTTTGGCGTTTCTACTGGCCTCATTCCGAAGCACAAACATGCACTTTGGGCTGCTCAACAAGATTTTGATCCAGCATTGACTGGGGTTGCCACCTCTGTGGTGCAAAAAACTCGGGACATATCGTGAAGAGGATACTATCTCACTATTTTGAAAGGGGCAGAAATACACTTAATTGCACTGTCTTCAGTGGTGTATATTTACCAACTTACACCGGGACTTCTAATGTCCTAGGAAGACTTACAGAACTCTGCTTTAACTAGGGTCCAATCCTGGGGAAAAACAGGACAAGTGGCAAACCTTATTCTAATACAGCAACGGCACAGCATTACAAGCTGATGGCACGTGGCGGCATGAGCTGTGAAAATTCATACTGGATTAAGATTGATGCCCTACAGTAAACGAAGTGATTTTGGGAGGAGACAGTTTTGTCCCGTGTCAATGGGTAATGAACAAATACGATGCTATCCAACGTTTGTGAGTAAATGTGTGGTCGTGTGTTTCTACGCGTGTGCAAGTACTGCGCTTGCGTGCTAAAGCCAAAACACAAAGCAGGGGAATGGGATCTTCTACAAAAGATTCTCCAACATGTGCTCGATGTCAGCAGCTTATTATATGCTCATGTCGTACGAGTCCTCCTCCACTTGGGTTGCTCCACACGCCTGCAGGTGCTTGCACATTTCGATTCTCTGCAGAAATAAAATATTTAAAAATACTTTTAAAAAAACACGCTTTAATGAAATGTACTCGTAATGGAACAACTCCACGACTCCAGGAAGTGGCCCCGCAGCTTGCCATAGCGTAAGGGACCGTGGTGATTTACAAGCAACGTGAGTTGAGCGTGGACAATTAGATCCGTAAAAAAGATTGTTTATAAATATATATTTTTTAAATTTTTAATGATAGAATATAGTATTGTCATCAGTATGACATAAGTATACCAAGTTTGCAGTCGATAGCACATTGGGAAGTGGGTAAAAATTGAGTTACAAGACTTTTTTAAGGATACGACAACAGACGGAGTGAGTTAAATAATAAAAGCGTGTAATAATAATGACCATCATCGTCATTATCACCATTAATGTCACTCAGTTGTTTTAATCAGATAAACAATGACCGGGGCTTAACTTCAGCCAGGTCCGTCTAGGTTGGTGATCCAGAAAATATTCCCGTACACCACATCCAGTAAACCTCTTGCTTCCGCTGTGGCTGCTCGTCACATGCCACTACAGTCTTCTCTTTAGGTCCACTCCAGTCGACCAGTGACCCAGAACATTTTCAGTCAGACCATGAAGCCCCGATAATTATGATACCATGATAGGAAATAGAATAATTAAGCAATTAGTAAATCCATATCTGGATGAAGACCTCCCCACATAGTGTCAGTGGTAGGGGGGGGGGCATACTTCCCCACGCTGGACCGTGCTGGTTGGTGAAGGGGAGTGACTAGGACCGTTTAGCATTAACTCGCCACTGACATTAGCACCGGTCAAAAATTAAATACAGATCGTCCAGTTCTTGGCACACACGGAGCTCTAACCATGTCGCCACTGTTCCACTCCCAGTTATGATCATACTATTGTCGACATTCCCTCTAGAACACAGAGTAAATTAATAAAAGGGTGCCTTTGAACACGTCAGAGAATTCATGCATATTCATTAATTGCATGCCTTGTTTAATAGTAATTAGAAACATGTAAAGTTTTTTAGATTATGGTCCACCATCAGATGATCACTTGAAATGTATAACAGTGTGGAAGTTACATTCAGTTTTGACAAATGTCCATCCATAAGCAGCGTTCAACGAATCGTGTTATCTACGGTACTCACCGTGCGTTGTTGTATTGAACATGTGTAGGTGTATTGTACGCAGGGGCGGTTTCTTCATTAGGGCGATTGGGCGACGCACCACCAATGTCATTCAACCACAGAGTCACGCTAGCCGTCACTGTGCCTCTGGATATAGTCCAATCAGCGTCATGCTACGTTCTGTGGAGTACCGCCTCTTTTTGGGCGATTTCCCTCCAGCTGAGAATCGCCCCAAGTGGTCCCATAGACTTACATTCAAAGATGTTTTTTTTCGAATGGGGGCGCTGCAATGCATTCTCTATGGCTTCCGGGAGGGCTCGCCCTAACGTGCTTACGTCATCATATGTGCTTACGTCATCATACGTAAGCACGTTTCATCCAACAATATAATTTGTCGCCATCTAGTGGAATCTTTAATAAAAGAAACTTGAGTGGTTTGTTTTAACAGTGAGTATAGAAACAAACAAGATGTATTGTAAGAGTCACTTTATTTTTCATTAATATTAAAGAAGTGAAGTTGCCTTTACATGCTTAAGCTGTTAATTTATCCATTGCATGGGTGGACCTTATCCTTATCAATCATCCAGACATTTGCCCCCCCCTGAGAGATTTTGCAGGAGCCGCCACTGATTGTACGGATGGTGCAAGGTGCATGCAGGGAAACGTTGCACGTACCGGTTGGCTGGTTAGCTTTTTCAACACGTCCCTGGCCATTTTCAGACACGGTTGATAGTCAGGCGTTTTTTTCATGGACTTGCACGATTGCTTGTACACTACATTCTGTCACACACAATCACACAGTCCATGAATCTCAGGGTTCAAAACAATGAGCAGTAAAACACAACGATCCAGTAACATACAGGGTAAAACGGCACATTCCCACTTTACAAAATACAATTACATTATATTTTTATCATTGGATTATTTTTTATTTCAAACTGACCACATTACCGAAATCTTCCAGACCTTCCCTCTGGCTAAAAGAATTGAAAAAAATTAACGAGAAAGCTGTTGCAAGGAGCCGGCAAAGAATCACCCCCAATGAGGAGCTCGCATCTGGCTCCAATTCCAAATGGCTCACATGGTGGAGCCTATCAGACTGGGAGTGGGTTTCGGCAGATGCAACTCTCATGAAATCATGGGGGTGCTTCTACATAACTGACCAATGTGCTTGTCAGGAGAAGCAACCCTTATGGATCATCTCCTGACATTCCCTGCAGCACCAAATGCACTCCTCAAGATTTGGCAATGCCAACAACAGAAGCGGTGGCCTGTGCATAATATTGGGAATTATTAATACAATTAGCACAATTAATTCAAAATGAAGTGATGTGGTTTTGCATGCAAGTGTGGCTGGCATGCGTGAGAGTTTGGTGTGTGCGTGTGAGAGCGCAAAAAGGGTAACGGTAGAGCGATAGGGTCCTGGATGCGTGTCGCACGTGTAACAGACTCTAGAGTGCGGGAGACATGACAGCTCTGCTCGACCGTACGTGGCTGGACTACACGCACATCGTCAGTCTGGGTGATGTCTGAGCTCATGTAGGAGCTCATGTCACGTTGTGGTGGTTAGTGGCTGCTAAGACAATGAGCTACTCCTTTCCCAGTGCCTGTGGTGACACTGACCTGCTGGGGTTCCACTACCTTGGCAATGCTATAATTGTCCAGGGACCCTATGACCAAGGGCACAACCACATTTGGGAGCTGGAGGCATTCTTCAAACGAATGCTTCCTGGTGCTTATAGTTTAGATTATGGGTACGTTCCGCGAAATTCACTCCCCACTTTGTTGCAGTCACCGGCTTGAGACCATGAAATTGCTACACTTGAGAACCCAGTTCAATTGCAGGTGGCCGAAACCCATATTGAAATCCCTGATGTCAGATGTACCAGGCCAGCACTCTGAAGCGCTGTGCCAACGTTTTATAACTTTCCATGCACAGAATAGTAGTCAATCTGCAATTAATCAACAATATCCCCAAATCTATTACTTGCCGATCAGCCTGAATGTTTTTCTCCGCTGCCTGTGCACTTGTTGTGGTTGCTTCCATTCTTAGTCTGCTGCTCCCAGGCGTATCACCAATGTCGGTCTTGCCACGTGGAACAACCGGTCTCCACTATGTGAAAAATGGCATTTTTCGTTGGCACAGCGCAGCTTTTGTGAAGTCAAAGTTTCGTTTGACAATTTCTGCTGCTTTTTAACAGTTGACAAGTTAACTAGCAACATGAATAACACGGTAGTGGTTGCTATGCCTTCACACCTTCGCAGGTAGAATATTCTCGTGCCACCTTAGCCATGCTTACTTTGAACCTCTGGACTTTATAGCACCCGATGTATTTTCAGGTTGTACCGCACGTTGTTCAGCATGATGTTCGACATTTTGCTTTGCATGTTGGGAGCGTCTTCAGGATATCACGCCGAACAACACGCGGTACAGCCCACAAACACATCGGAGAGCTGTACGACACCAACCGTGAAAACAAACGGCTTTCCTCCTGATGCAATCCATAGTGGGGGAAGTCTTTGTTGCCATATCCTGTTCATAACGAACTTATTGCCAATATTCAAACATATGGATCGGGTGTTGAATCTGTATAATTGAGTAGTGAGCACATTTGTGCGTGTGTACGTTTATTTCTGTGTGCTTGTGAAAGTGCATTCCAACCTTGCGAATCTTCAGAAGGTCCACGACAACTTCCATTGTGGTCTGGCACAAAGCACACTGGTCCTGTACGAGAAAACAAGCACCACGGTTTAGAAATGGGACAGTTATGTAGTCCACCACAGTGCCTAAGATTTATTCTACAAATACTACTGCATATACAAAATAATGTAAATATGAAATAATAAGCTGTTCATCCATCTGTACTTAATGTCCGTTGCCTGTGTCTGCTCTGTGTATGAAAGTAATGCAGTCTGTTCGAAAACGCTGCGTGTTTTCCTGATGCAAATTGGATATAACGTGATGAATGTATGAGGGAACATTTTATTTATAACGCGGATACGAATTGGATTTAACGCGATTAAGTGAACAGAACGATGTCCCATGAGTATGAATGAGCCGTTGTACAGCTGCCTTGACGTAGCATCGCACACGGCGGGATGCTGCTGGATGCTTCGAGATGCTACCCACGCGCCTCAGTCTTTGTTCGGCCTGCATACGCATCGCGGACGGTGCTTTACTTGAATATTATTTATTATCACGCGATTTTCCATAATGCGGTGTTCTTCAGGAATGCAACTACTACCGCGTTATAGGAGAACAGACTGTACCAACAACAATAAGTTAACAGCCACCATTCAACAATAGCAGAACCACTTTTGGATAAAGGCTTCTTTACATCGTATTAGTCATGGCGGGTTGATCATCCTTCCCCACGTTGGTCAATGAAGAGGTTGTGGGGTGCCCAGAACCAGTTCAGATATCACTACCCGCTGATGTTAGCCAGGACCAGGAATCTAACTCAGATCACCGGGTTCATAGTGCAGTGACCATGCACTAATATTATTCGTGCCAATTTCCAAGTGGTAATTTTAAGATAATTTTACGTGACGTGAATGAAGGCCGGGGAGAGTGGGTGTGTGCACCTGGCAGCTCTGTGAATGCTGTTCATTGAGTCAAGTGAGGCATTGCCCGAGACACCATCCCAGCATCACCGGGTTATGTGGCTGAAATGGACGGCAATGATTGACGTGGCTGTAATCACCAACAACCACCAAGCCTCCGTGGAGGCTTTTAAATGGCTCAATAACCTCCACATCCAACAAATAACATTGCAAATGTCACCTCGCCACGTACGAAAGAAGAAGACCCCAATGAACCTGTGTGGCGTGGAGAGGCCCTCATCTCGCAGCGAACTGACAAAGGGCTGTATGTGTACAATTAAATAACTATAGAAATAACCATAGTGGTCTGTATGGGTGAACGGTGGAGGTGCTGTGAAAGTAGAGGGAATTGTAGTCTTTGTGGGCACTCAAATCATGACACTTCACCTGTTGAAATATGGTATATAGTTTTGCAGATACTTCAATAAGTCGATGGCATAATTACATAGCACATGTGACAAGTTCGTTGATGTGATACGATGGTTAAGAGTATAACATTTTCATTTTGTATCATATACAACAGGTAGCGCACCCATGTTCTCACAGCTGGTGCATCACTTGACAATGGAACTGACAGATTTTGGGCAGAGAGCTGGAAACCCTAAGTGTTGTTTTGCGCAGTTATTCGTAGTTACGAGGGTATAACCACCAACGCTCTGCACTTAGGAGCCTGCTCATTTCAAATACAGAACTTAAACCTGAGATAATTTGCGCAAGAGTTTTCGCACCTCTGATTAGTAAAGTTGGCAACAGGACAAAACTTAAACACATATACACACAACCCAATTGCTCTCGCAATCGCACAACTTAATCATCGCCTGCCCTTGCTTTGTTCAAATCTGAGTGAATAGTCGCACGACAAGGAGTGTGAAACAGCGTACTCAGGATTGTAACCACCATGGTTCACGTATGTGCAGCACGCGATAAAATGTCTGCTACAAATGAGTAGATAAAAACTTGATCGAAGTTGAGTATCTTTATGTTGAGCAACCGGATGTGCAACTGCTCGCAATTGGCTCCAGACGTCCACATTCAGGATACGCGATTCAGTTGCGCAACCGATCACTCCGATGTGTACCCGGGTTGAGTGGCCCTGGCACAACTGTTTTTTTTTTATTCTAAACAAGACGACAGCATATCCGTAAAGAAGCGTGTGCTTTGGGAGTGCAAATATGGCAACGATTTGTACAAAAGTGGCACAATAACTGTCACTTACCAAGGCACCAACGTTTTCAAGCGAATCCTCAACATCGGTGTCAGGTGATTCCAGAAAGCCGTGCGCACCTGAAGGGAGGCAGAATCGTCAAAAAAACGAAGCAAGTATTCTGTCACTTGAAGGAAATGGCCTCATTACCGCATGCTCCTCGGCTTGATGTCCGACGTTTCGCTCGACGTGCATACCAATTCAGGAAGTGAAGAAGCTCCCAGCATGTGGAGCGAAATGTCCGACATCATGCCAAACATAACACGTGGCACAAGCAGAAAAACACATCGGAGGGTTTGTGTGTCTCCTGTTTTGACAGCATGGAACCTTCATTGAGGTTACCGCGACAGATGTGGCCAGTTCACGTAACCCGTCTATCTCATGGTCGCCTTACAACGCCCCCCATATCATTTCATCTCACAGACAAACACACCTCGTCAAAGTTGTACACTACTATGCTCGCACGTCTGTGATATCTCCCTTCCCTAACCAGCGCGAATAAGTATGATCAAATAACACCCACGACTCCCATCCGGTAAAGAACAGGTGCGCAATGCGTACTGATAGCACACGCCAGGGCGGCCAGGACAACGAGGGAAGACAGTCGGAGATGCTCCATGCTGATGAGCTCCGAGGTACGACTCTGAGACGAGGGGGAGCAGGGTGCCACAGACTCGGAGAGGTGACAATTTATAGTCGATTTGAGAGGCCACCAAATTGGCCACTCCTCAACAACCGATACATGAGGGAGTGGAAGTGTGTGGACGTGTTCGTGTGCGGTATGGCTAACAATGCAAAAAAATATGCGTAAAACGTATTTTTTTTCTTCCCCCTTTTCAAATTTGTTGCGTGAGGTGTTGAAAATAAGTGTGGTCGTACAAAAGGAGCGAATGTTAGGGATTTTAGTCCTCACAAACATCAAGCCAAAGCCACATTAATAGGAAGTAATTTTGCAACATTAGCATTTATTCAAAAAATGATTAAGTTTGTAGCTCTCATCATTTTTTTTTTCTCTTATTCGCAGTGGTCTGAGTATAGTCAGAAATAACTTGGTCATTATCTTTGGCAACGCTGCTTCATAAGAACATTATGGTGCTCGAGAAACGCCGTATAGGGCGCTATATCAAAAACAAGTCAATATCATTGTTCACTCATTTAGACTTTTGAATATTTGAACAATGAATATTTTCCAAATGAGAGACAAATGGCAGTAGTATGAGTTTGACTGACTTGTATTCAGAGAAAGTGTATCGATGCTAAGAGTGTCACATGGCAATCGTCTGCAGCGATTGCCTTGATCTGGCAGTGGAAATTACATGGCCCGGATATTGTAAAAACACTGCACATTTTGGAAATATTAGCTTGAAATGTAATAACAGGGGAGTTCATTTATCAAATATTTTCCTTTGGCAAATATTTCACTGTAAACCTTTAAATTATGTTGGCAGCGATCACAAATCATAAAAACACATCGCATTACTCTTTTTTTACACTGCTTTTTTACATCCATTTGTAAATCCACTACTAGATGAAGACCTCCTCATGCTGTGTCACTCGGGAGGTTGATGAGGAAGGGGTGGGGGATCCAGGACCTGGGTGCTACAGTGGTGAGATGTTAACTCTCTCGCCTAGCATACAGGTCATGGGTTCGATCCCGACCCTGACGCCTGTATATCTATTTACCCGATCTAACTAAAAAACATCTGTATTATGGATGATATTGGTCGTGAAATCCTACGTCGAGTTTGTGTGTTCTCCGACTGGGCTATAACTGGTCCAAAAAAATTTAGGAGTTCAAACATCACTCACCACCATTGTCAATCATGACCAAAGATCGAACTCAGACCACCAGGTTCATAAGTGTAGTGCACAACCACTGAGCTACTGCCTACCCCAAACGCTACCTTATCACAGAATACAGCAGCCTAGCATTTTGCCTGGATCTGTGTTTAGAAATATGCTTTACAACGTGGTGCCTTAAAGACACTGGACAATTTGCAGAGAGTAGATATAACAATACATTTGAATTGCCGTGAACAGTTTTTTTTCATTCGCAAATTTTGAACAGAACACACACACATTTCAACAGTTCAAATGTATGAACAAACCAATTATAAGTTATAAATATACGCATCCGATTTAGAATTCAGAAACGTATCATGGAAGACCAGACAACAATAAAAAAAAATTAGAGTAGTAAATTCTCCAAGTCCATGTAACAGGTCACATTCACTGATAAAAATTGGGCTTGGGAAGGCCACGTTACAAGAATCAATCGTAGCCGGTGCTTGAGACAAATGACAGAATAGCAGCTAAAGAAGAGAATATGCCTGAGAGCATGTCCAGAGGAGCAATGAAACCAGCTCATTTGCATGAGGGTGCCTTTGATACAGCAGTAGATAGATCATGGCTGATGAGAAATAGACAAACATCCATTGCTATGATATTCCCACTGGTGGTGACATGAAATGAACAATATCATGGAATTCTAGAATATTGCAGAATGAATGAAACTAATGAACAGAATCTGGGAGGTGCCATTGTTTGAGAAAGTATAGGGGCGTGTTGTGCGTGATGGATGAGATGACAGCGAGTTTGATGGGTTGAGTGACAATGAGGTAAACATACAGAGCAGGGTTAGTGGGTGGGGGAGACGAGCAGCAGTCCGTTCCATCAGTTGCAGATAACCCAGTAGCAGTACAAATGTAGTGAGTCCAACTGAGTCGCAGACGTTATTCTTTAGAGGCAACACATGTATTATATCAACACGTGATACACAAAGGGGTAACTGCCCCTTTACCAGATACAGCCTCGGGTGGTGACCACCCAGCTAACTATATTATACGGAGAAGTTACAACTACGAAGGGTCGGACCCTCACTCGGGTCCCGGCCATGTGTTGATGCCTTGTAGGACGTAGAGCTTCCAGCTTGTAGGACGTGGAGCTTCCAGCTTGTAGACGTGGAGCTTCCAGCTTGTAGAACGAAGCGACCCCGGTCCCTTTCAGGGACCCACCTTATATCCTCCCAGGTCGGGGCTGTCTCCACCCAGGCCCCGCCCACCTTCTCGAGCATTCTAGCTCCCTCTCGATCCCTCTCGAGAGCTCTCCCCGGATAAATGATCACCCCTAGCCCCCCCCCCCCCCCACCTGGGGTCCTCTCTGTGGACACTCCGGATCACGTGTCTACGGGGTCAACTAGAGTGCCATGGCTCGGGGCAACCCTGCCCCTGGGCTGACACTCTCCCGCTCACCCTTGTGGGAGCCCGCACTGCACGCTATGTGCGGTGCCCGTGCTATCCCAGCGCTCACCAAGCCCCGCTAGGGCTGGTACTATACCCATCTACGGGGTGTACGTGATGACGGTGCATCGCACGCCTTGCTATAGTAAAGCCGGCATCACACAGCAAACTACCCAATGCTCTCCGCGGCGTAGGAACATCGCACGCCACGACCCTCCTGGGCCAGCACCATACAGTGAGATCCCCGATGTCACTACACAAACACCAGCCAGGGGAGGACCTCTCTCGAGCAGGAGGCCATCTTGAAGGTTACGGCCACTGCACGAGGTCCCCACAGAGAACTCCCAGAGCAGTGGCTGAGGCAGTGGAGCAGTTGGGGTTGTCAGCCCACCCGAAGATCATAGAGGCGGCGCGCGCGGTGCTGGAGACGCATGGCGCGGAACTTGGTGGCCGTGCTCCTCTTTACAGGGTGGTCCTGCTGGTGTACTCGGCTCACTGGAGCAGGTGGCACAGAATGCCGCTCTACATCGATGAATACCACGCCAAGGGGGTGCCGGTGGTGCCAAGGGGCTCTGCACAATAGATCACACAGTACACTACACACTGCACCGTACACACTAAATTGCACCACAGACTGCAACATGTATCAAACACTACTGTATGACATTATAGCTTACCCATCAACATCCCACTGTACATTACAGCAGTGCACAATACTTTTAATTAAATCACACAATGAACATGCACACAAAAAATAGATACGCATAAATACGAACACACAAAACAAATAAGTTAAATAACGAACAAAGGATTTAAAAAACTCGTTAAAAAAACTGAGAAAGTTGAAAGAACAGTAGGTGTAGTGACTGTGAATGTCATTGTGTGGTGTCGGGCTTACGAAGCCACGGCGGATAATGTGTTGGCATTATGTGTAGCCCGCTTACTGGGCGTAGTACCAGCCCTAACAGGGCTTGGGTGAGCGCTGGTCAGCGCGGAGGCACCACGTACAGTGTGCGGTGCGGGCTCCCCGTGAGGGAGCGAGAGGGAGTGTCAGCCAGCCAGGGTTACGTTGGGGCATGATACACTGGTTGACCTGCCGACACGTGACCGGATGATATTGGAGGGGGGGCACCGGTGGACAGGGGCCGCTGGACGGGGGCCGCTGGGCGGTCACGTGGTATAGAGGAGCTCTCGGGAGCCTTCGGGAAAGAGCTCGAGAGATCTAGAAGGTGGGCGGGGCGAGGGGCGGAGCCAGCCCCAGCCCAGGCCGACATAACGGGGGTCCAGTGAGGGGCTCGGGGTTCTTCGTGTTGCTGGTGATCCACGTCGGGTAAAAGATGCCTCTAGCCATGCGGTCCAGGACACAGCTTGTGGTCCGGGCCGGGATAGCGAACCGTGTCTAGTTCTGCCATAGCGTGGCTAGATGAGCATTCAACACCCAAGTGTAAGTTGTGTTATGTTATGATGAGTTACTGAAGAGTGTTGCTTCCAAGACAACGTCTGCGACTCAGTCGGATTCACTACATTACAATTAGAATAACGATCCCCCTGATTACAAAGTAGAACACGATACATATTACGCGTTTAATTGTCGTAATTTCAATCATTAAGTACTGTACGAAAGACGGTAAGACATATAGACTGCAATGGTATAATGCGCGCATATGCACAACGGTGCATATCGCGACACAGTCTTCAACATGCACAGATTTAAATAATTTATATCAACAATCATAATTAGAACATTTATTTTGACAATTTCAATAGCAATAACATTCTAAATCATAATCACGGTTCGAACTTGCTCACTCAACTTTAACGTAACCATGTTGCCCTCAGCGCGTCGGAACGGGCGTGACAAAGCAAATAATAATTATATTTATTACGATGTCATTATTTTAGCAATAGTACTAATTATTATTGGTGTAATTGTTGGTCTCGGGCTACCGAACAGCGGCCGCTCCGGCGCCTTGACGAGCGGCGATGTAAGCGGCCTTTCATTGGTCAGAGGCTGCCCAGCAACAACCACTAGGATTGGACGAGACGTCCCCCCCCCCTCCCCCCCGTAGCTGGGCGCGACCATTCATGATTTGAAATGGGTGGGAGGGTGGGGGTTGGAATGTTTTGAGTGTTCATTATAACAATTTAATATTATGGCTCTCGCATAATGTCCGTGATGCAGTCATTAAATCCTTTATATTAAGTTCGCTTGCTTGCTTGCGCGCTTACGACCGTGCAAATCTTTCGGTCGTTTTTTAACCCACTTTCCGTGATCCAATCGAGCTGACATTTTGCACACTGACTCGTTGTGCGTGACAATTTATTTTCGTAAATTTTTTTTTCCAAAATTTTCCACTTTTTAGGAATTTTTTTTCATATTTAATTAAAAATACCAATGTGATAAAAATAAAACTCTTACTCAAGAAAAACAGAAATGAATAATAAAATAAAACCG